AATCAAACTAAGTAATACATACATATTTGGTAATACGTATTGCTAATTGAAATAAACTTTCACATATTGAATCATCTTATAAATTAGAGGCATTTCTTAAGAGTAACTCTTCCAAAAGTGAGATCCCTAATTGAAAAACCTATATAGACTTCCAATAGTATATTCTTTAAAAAGTAGTATACATTATTATATCCTATAGACATATTGGTTAATAAATTACATTAATTTATCTTTAAGTTACAACGTCTACTCACTGCTGTGATATTTGAGGGCCTCCCTGGTGGCGCAAGGGGTTAAGACACAACCTATGAAGCTGTCCACAGCCACTACAGCACAAGTTCGATCCCCGGCCAGGGAGCAACCCACATGGCACAGCAGACCTCTCCTGACAGGCCCGCTGCTACCCTCAGTAGTGTATTTCAGTCAATCTACCTGTTCTGTTGCCCACTCTGTTTCTGGTGAATCCTCTCACCCCCCATAGCTCTGACTCCAGCTCTTGTATGCATAAATAAATAAATCTTTTAAAAAATTAAATATATTTGAAATGTTTAATGAAGGAGTTGTGTCCTGCACTGGGTATGCAATAAGGAAGCCAGGGAGGAAGACTCCTCACAAGAGAACATTTGATTCTATGTGAAAGTTCCATAAATTTATTTAACAGCAGTTCTAGGTAGTGCTTTCACATCCACTTACTGATAAATTTTGCTTAGTCTGTTTCTCTCTGGACACCTTGACAGCTGAGTGGAACATTCTTCCACCCTCTCTAATGGATATCCATATTATTCTTTTCTATAGCACACTCTAGTACTAACACCACTGGCATCATTTCCTGCTATTTTAAAAGTTCTTTGGTCAAAGGGTTGCTTATTATTTGCTTAACTCCCTGGGAACTGTGCACTCAAACCATAAAAACCCTCTCTTCTAAACAGAGCCTTACACTGCCACCATTGCCAAAGGCCAGAAGGATTTATTTTGGTGCCACATCATGCATTTGAATGTGAACTGACACAGATATATCACACGGTTTGGTTGAAGTAGTTGATGTTGTCTGAATGATAACTCTTGACCTAAGAAGTTCTGAAGTAATAAAAGAAGGATAAATTTGCATGATTTGTGCCATAAGCAATATTTATAATGTAAGAGGGCTTTAAAGATTAATACGTTCCCAGAGCAGCACATAAAAGAGACAGGAAAGGTTATCTAGTGATCATCCAAATGCTGTATTATTTGCAATGCTTTCATGTCAATGATTTTCATAGCTTTTTTCCTGCCCCCTCTGTCATTAACTTAGTTTACCAAAAGGCCATTCTTATCTCCCAATTTCAAAATGTGTCCTGCAAGTTTAACTCATTGAATCAAGGAGAGAAGGCCCAATACTGCTTGAAGAAAAAGTGAATTGATGACCTCTCATTAGTCAATAAGCCTAGAGTTCTCCGTAAATTCTTATGTCATTAACTCCTGATTTTGAGAATCAAATAGCTTGAAGTATTTTCCACACATACTTGCATTATTGTTTCATGTGATCATCAATTGGAAGAAGGAGAAATTGATTCTCAAAGTCCCTAAAGTGTGTAATTACAAAGTTTGAGTATTAAAGTGTGAGATTGACAACACTCTTTAGAGATAGTCCTCAGACTAATTTCTTCAAAATTACTTATCATGCATGTTTTTCCATCCAAAAATACAGAAAATTTTCAAAGTGACTGACTTATTTTTTTTTCATTTAAAAAAAAGATTTATTTATGCACTCAAGAACTGGGGGACAGGCCGGAGGTGCGGGGGGTGAGAGGACTCACCAGAGACAGAGTGGGGAGCAGAACAGGCAGATTGACTGAAATACACTGCTGAGGGGAGCAGCAGACAAGACAGGAGCGGTCTGGGGCACCATGTGGGTCAGCTCCTTGGCCTGCTGGGGATTGAACTCATGCTGCAGTGGCTGCAGATAGCTTCATAGTGCTGTGTTAACACCTTGCACCACTAGGGAGGCTTTATTTTTCCCATTTTTAAAACCAGATCACACTAGATGCAGTGCTAAAATGAAATGATTTGTAAAGAAAGGTATTTAAGAGAATGTTCCAGAGAATTTTAATGTTTAAATCAATTTTGATATCTATATACATTCTCCTTTTACTTCCTTTGGCATGTGACAGTGTGATTGTGTGGTTGTGTCTGCATATTTCCCCCCATAATTGAAGCTAATTGAAAAGCAAAGAATTTCATCAGTTTAACATTAAATGCTCTTCAGAGTGCCAGACTGCTTTCAGTAAAGATATAGAATGCACTGTTTATTGTAGAAATGTGAACAGAGATTGAGCAGCCAGTAATAAGACTGGCTTGGTGTCTGTGTCTACCATTCTGTCTCATTCTGGCCTGATTTCCCATTACATAGTTTCCATTCTTTTTTTTTTTTTTTTTTTTTTTTGGGCAGATTGGATCTCAGTCAGAAAAGATGTGTGGACATTATTATAACTTACTTTATAATATTCCTTTGAGGGAGAAATAATTTCATTCTCCCTTATCTGCTATGTCATGAAGCATGATATAATATCACTTCCATTTTACAAATGAGCAAGGTTATTTAGGAAATAGAAGAAATAAGCAGGACCAGGACTAAAGAATTCTGTAACTCCCTATTTTATATATTAAATGGTGCTTTTTCTTTGGTGTCAATTGCTGATCTTTTAGGAAGTTAAGGGAAAATGTCTCTGTTTTTCATTTAGAGGCATACAAACATGAAAATGACAATTATTTAATGATAATTATTTGGATTCATTTCAAGCTGTGCAAGAACAGTTAAGATTTCTCCATCCAATGTAAGAATGTAATCAATATTTAAAAAATATAGGGAATCACATTTATTCAGATGAAATTTTTTTCCAAAGATGATGGTCTTGACATTATAATCAAAATGTTGTTTTCCAGAGATAATCTGTTTCCCCAACAGCTTTGAAAGGTAAGTTACTGTGATTCCCTGCCACTAGGAAGACCTACTTTGAATTGAGCACCATACACTCATGACACACTCATTGGAAAGATCTCTCAGCCTAACTAACCTAAATTTAATAAGCACATTAAGTTGCATTCTCTTTCCTTTGTTTCTCTTACACCTGATAGTATATGTGTAACTAACTCCAGTCTGTTGAGTTAATTAGGGTTCAATTTTGGTTCTAAAGCTTTTATATGTTTGCTGTGTATTGGGTATGCCACTGCCCTCTTCAAGCAGAAACATGGGCCTCTTTGTAAAAGAAGGGTGAACTGGGGCCTCCCTGGTGGCGCAAGGAGTTAAATCTCAGCACTATGAAACTATTAGCAGCCACTGCAGCACAAGTTCTATCCCTGACCTAGGAACTGACCCACATGGTGCAACAGACTTCTCCTGTCTTCTTGCTGCTGACCTCAGCAGTGTATTTCAGTAGATCTGCCTGTTCTGCTCCCCAGTCTGTCTCTGGTTAATCCTCTCACCCTCTTGCACCTCTGGCCTACATACCAGCTCTTGTGTGCCTAAATAAATAAATGTTAAAAAAAAAAAAAAAGCAAAGCAAGGATGAATTGGTTTTTGTGTTACAGAATTATTGTTAGGTTGTGCATTATATAAAGCATAATGAAACCCTTGATATGAGGTAAGTGTTCAAAATATTTGATGTCATGTTATTACTTTTTCAGTATCTCCCTGTATCTTGAAAGCAAGTGGGGGGTAGATTATGTTGAAAGCAGAGATAGAAAATGCATCCAAATGATATCCTCTGTGAAGTCTGTTACACCACTGCAGGCATGAGATTTCTTTTCAACATTACTGTGCCTATTATTGGCTATTAATTTACCAATGACTGGGATTCCATGTTACCATAATTGTGTATTTGTTCTCTGCTCTAACACTGCAGTGAGTATATTGAGAGAAGGTGTCTAGACTCCTAGCTCTTTGTAGATATGCATTCTATGTATGTAATAATACATAGCATGTAATATATATATATATTTTAAAGATTTATTTATTTATACAAGCACTGGGGTACAAGCTAGAGGCGCAAGAGGGTGAGATAATTCACCAGAGACAGAGCAGGGAGCTGAACAGGCAGAATAACCGACATACACTGCTGAGGGGAGCAGTGGGCGAGACAGGAGAGGTCCACCATGCCATGTAGGATTCTCCGAGGCCGGCCAGGAATTGAATCGGCACTGCAGAGGCTGTGGGCAGCTTCACAGCACTGTGCTCAACCCGCTATGCCACCGGGGAGGCCCTAAAATATGTTTTGAATCAAATAAATCTTCAGCAAACATTTATTTGAAAGGATAGGCCATGTAACATCAGAGCACCTAATTTCCGGTAAGGTTCTGACACTCCAGAAGCTATTTGTCTTAGGCAAGTTAGTCACTTGAGCACAAGGACTGGTATTACCCTCATTTGCAAAATTGTGGTCACACAATCTCCCTTCCCCTTAGAAAAATGTGAATAATTTAAGGTGATGCAGAGGAAGATACTTCAAAATTTAAACACATTCCAGGTTAAAAGAGTTCAAGTTCCAACTTCAAAATAAGAATGAGCCCTGACTCGTACTGTGATCTCTCAGTGGGGAGACATTCAGCATGGAGTCACGTGTCTGCTTAAAATGACAATGTGCTTTAGGAAATACATTAAAAAAATAGTATTTTGCAGATGAATGTGATCTGCTTATAAACAAGAGCTACTGTTATTACTACTCAGTTTCCTAAAGTCTGCTGCTGAATGTCATGCAGACCTATGCACAGATATAAAGAAAACTGTCCTGAAAAGAGAATCACTTGCAAGAATGTCATGTTGCCCCCCCCCCCACCCCCACATAGATCCCCGTCAAGAATGAGGAGGTCAGCTGAAGAAGAACTGAAATGGGACAGGAATCATTTTTGTTATTTCTTTTGATTCCCACACTGACTTTTTGCCCTTCTGGAAGAACAGTCTTGAAATTCAAACTCTCTTCTAGGGTTTAATAAACATAGACAAGGTTTGTTTCCATTTCTTTCAGAGGCTGGAATGAAAAATGTTGAAATACCACATGAAAGACCTTGCTTTGGGGTTTCCAACTGAGACTAGAGGCTGAAGTGCTGAAAATTCTCACAAGGGATCCAGACTTCATGATATTTCCAGACAGATCCTGTACCCTCAGAGACAGGGGTAAACTCAAGGTGAGTGTCCAGAGCCTCAGGAAAGTTTTAGGTAAGTTTTCTTAATGATAGTTTGCATTTGTTTGTGAGGATTGCTATGCTTTGAGTAGGAAAGAAATGGACATTCTTCACTTAATGTCAAATGTTAACTGCATTATGGAAAGTTCAGTTTCTTCAGCTTCTTTTTTTGGTGCTAAATGACCTCTCTTCAACAAGAGGCCGGTGGAAAATGAAGCGTTACCTATCTTAATAGGTTTCAATCTCCTGCACGGGCTGCTTCAGTGATATTTTGGAGTCTATTAAAAGGAACTCAAAATTGCACAGCAGGAAGTCACCACCAAATATTTCCTTCAAGTTCTGTTTTCTAGATTATCAGAAAGAAAAATAGCAGAATTATGCTACTTATATTTTGTTGTCGCTCTATTGATGTTAGAGATGCTCTTTCTTCACCACTAACAACATACCCAAGTAAATGGTTGTAAGTAATAAAAAGAAACTGAAACAAATGATGATTATTAAAATAATAACACAGGAAAAAGTCTTTAGTTTGAAAAGTCAGACATTCTGTTGTAAGAATAGCTCAAGAGGGCCTCCCCGGTGGCGCAGCGGTTGAGCGCTGGGTTGCGAAGCTGCCCACAGCGTCTGCGGCACCGGCACCAGTTCGATCCCCTGCTGCTCCCCGGCCACTGGAGGAGGATCCCACATGGCGCGCAGACCTCTCCTGCAGCCCGCTGCTCCCCTCAGCAGTGTACTTGGGTCCTTCTGCCTGCTCTGTTCGCCGCTCTGGCTCTGGTGAATTCTCTCACCCTTCCATGCTTCTGACTGTACCCAGTGCTTGCATAAACAAACAAACAAACAAACAAACAAACAGACAAATAAATAAATCTTTAAAGGAAAAAAAGAATAGCTCAAGATATTTTGTAAGCCTTTAAAAAAAAATCTAGACAGCTATGCCTGAATATCTCATTTTATTATTTTGTTAATTCATACATTTTTTAAAATATTGTTATTAAGGTGCCATTATTTTATGTCCTGGCTAGTGTTTTGACAGTAAAGGATTCCCCTCCCTGCAGGTGTGGTCACTAATAGCACTACTACCCTCAAAGTAGCTATAGTCCACTGTTGTGGGTCTGCTGGACTTAAATGGCCTGCTCAGCTGGCATTTTGATTATGAGTGGTTCTGCATTCCTATACAAGGTCAGAACAGCCTGGTCAATCAGTTGACCAGAATGTGATATACTGGATGGTATAAGGCTCCTTTCAAATTAAAACAAGAGCAGGACACTTGATCACTCTGGGACTATGGACATACATCACAAGATATGATCGGGGACATGGGATGGCTGTTGACTGATGTGTGACTTTTCACCTCAGAGTCTGATCATTGGGATACTTTGTCGATAAGGTTGGAACCATGGGGTATGGTTTCCATTACAATACTGGGTCATCAAGCAAATAAAAAATACCTGGCCCACAGACTTAGTGCCCAGCTGAAGCCCTACATGAATGACATTAGCACATTTTCAGTTTCATCCACCCTTTTCCTTGTTCTCCTACCCTGCGTAATTGACGTCGTATGGTTATTCTACTAATAAAAAGGCTAGAATCTTGCTCTTTCAACATCACCTTGCATTGTACAGCCTGTGCCACAACTCCCATTTCTTTGTCAGTGTGGTATTGCGGACACAACACAGGGTTCTGAGGCCCTCACTCCCCTGTTTTCACTCCTTTCCCCACAGCTCCCTCTCTGAAAGTTGAAGGTCTATGGTGTGTTTTCAACAGTTGGTTTTAAAGTTTGGCTGACCCTTTGCTTGATTTTTTCTATATTCCACATATCAGTGATGCCATCTGGTGTTTATCTTTCTCCTTCTGGTGTATTTCACTTAGCATAAGCCCTTCTAGCTCCATCCATGTTGCTGCAAATGACATAAGTTTATCTTTTTTGATTACTGAGTAGTATTCCATGATATATATGTCACATCTTCTTGATCTACTCATTTGTTTTTGCTCACTAGGTTGTTTCCATATCTTGGCTATTGAAAATAGTGCTGCTATAAACATGGGAGTTCAGGTTCCTTTTGAATTTGTGTTTTTATATTTTTTGGATCAATACCTAGGAGAGGATTGCTGGGTTATATGGCAGATCCATTTGTAGTCTTTTGAGAAATCTTCACACCGCTTTCCATAGGGGCTGGAGCAGTCTAAATTCCCACCAGCAGTACAGGAGTGTTCCTTAATCTTCACACCCACACCAGCACTTCCTGTTTTTGGTCTTTTTGGTATGTCCCATTCTCACTGATGTGAAATGGCATCTCATTGTGGTTTTCTTTTGTTGAGCTATATGAGTTCCTTCTAGATCTTTGATATCAGCCCTTGTCAGATGTGTGGTGTACAAATATTTTCTCCCATTCAGTATGGTGTCTCTTCATTTTAGTTAGTCTCTTTTGCACTATAGGTTTTTAGTTTGATATAGTTCATATTCATAAACTACTTTTTAAAAGAATAAAATAAGTCATCATGTTCTTGAAATGATTGACAAAATTTTAAAATAAGGTGATGTGGAAAATGAGCACATACGATATTTAAATTCTTTTAGATGTATATACCCTTACCATATGATTATTTGTACTGCTATCTCATATAATAATGCTCCATCACTGCCTATATGTTGATATCATTATGTACAAAGCTTTTAGTAAAAACAGGTCTTCCCTTTGCCATGCATGTTTTGGATATAAAATAAGTTATTTATCTTTTTTCTTCAAAAAGAAATGCTTGTCAATAAAACGAGGCACCAATTTTCATATGGATATTCACTACATAATATATAACTAAATTTTGCCTTTTAAAAATATTGTTCACTTCCTGTTTTATGTTGAGTTTACTCTACCACATTCCTGATTTTGCCTCTCTGATACAAAATTAAGCTGAATAAATATTACGATATTTAAACTACATTGTCTTGTTTCTATGGGAATCATATGAGTAAAAGGGTAGTGAGTAGTATCACATTTTTTACATTTAGCTACATTAATATTTATATCTATTGATTGATCTCTCAATCTATCTAATTTTTCTATTTACCTATAGAATCACTTTGTGATGGAAATATTTTTCTTGTTTTAAGCCTTCTTTCACTGTCCTCATCATGATTGATAACTGATTTTGGCCAATGAATACACAAGTGGAAGTTACTTATTGAATGAAAAAGCAACTTTATTTATTTTATAACATTATTTTTAACTCCCTTTTTGTTCATTTGATTTCCATATATCCTTCCCATTTTACCTCATTGATTCAAATACTAGCTCTCATAGAATTTTCATGTTTATTTCATTTTGAAAATGTTAATATAATTGGGTGACCAACAAATTTAACAGTTAACTGAGGGTTTTCCTGACATATGGAATTCTCAGTGCTAAAATTAGAGCCATCCCAACTAACTGTTTTGTTTAGTTAACCTAAATGTACATTGTAGAAAGCATGTGACTCCACATTTCCTCGGGTATAATTCAGTCTCAGAACTTTGCAGTGCAGGAGGTTCTTATGTCATATTTTGCACTATTTATCACATTTAGTTCTAGTCTACTCCTTTTATCTACTCATAATGCTGCATTTGACTGCTCTAAGTTTGATCTAGAAAGAGTAAAATGGTCAGTGTAGATTGGTATGGGTGAAATCTAGCTCAGTAAGCACATAGAAGACTTTGCTTTTTTTAAACCCTTGAAATCAATTACACAGAATACAAAGGAAATATCTCTCTCATATGTTCTTTTTATTACTTGCCTGTAATATATTGAGGATTTGGGGAAAATGTCTGTATTTTTGTCTTGTGATAGCTTATTATTCTCAAGATTAGGAGATACAGTGCAAAAAAAAAAAACAAAAAACAAAAAAAAATTATATTAGTCCCAAGGTATGCTTCCCTAATGTCATTCTCCCCTAAGACCTCACAATTGAGATAATGTTGAAACCATTGTAATCATTCCCTTGTTGATGCTTAATTATTAATTTGAAAAAAATACATTCGAAGGGGAAGGAGAAGGGAGAAAATGATTGGAGAAAAGTGTGGGCTCCCAGCAACAATTCCTCCATTAGCACAAAAGAGAGTCTCCTAGATGTGGTTATACTGCTTTTCATTGGTTGAAAAAGAAACGTCGATAACTAATTAATATAAGTGAGTCGTGGACCAATGTGGGGTTTGATCATCTAGGAAACTCACCAACCTTGGACAGATTCATATTTTAAATTATTGTCTAAGATATCGATAGCTTACTTTTGGAAACAAAGCTCCATGGACAGACAAAATAATCAAGTCCCAGAAGCCAAAGGATCTCCTTATTCTTTCCTCTTCTGTCTATTCACTTCCCTTCTGAATTGTTTCAGAATGTTACCTTCTTATTGATTGCTTCAATTACTCTGCCTTTACAAATCCATAGTACTTCTCAAAGCAGTCTGTATTCATCATTGAATATGAATCTCTTTGAAAAGTCAGATCATATCCTATTAAGAGTGAATGAAAACTAAGATATTTACTTCTATCCAGTGGGGAAAAGAGAAAATGTTGGCTTATTTTATTGATTGCATTATACTTCAATCAATTTCAACTCAAGTTTTGACCTGTTTCTGTATTTGTGTAATTCATTTTCAATCATTACAAATATTGTGTACTATAGGAAACTGAATAACATTTTATAAAAATAGACATAATTTCAAACTAATTGTATATACACCCATAATTTGGTTCCACTTACTTCTTACTGTTCAATTCTTATCACAAAATATGGAGATGCTTGTCTTTGGTGAAAGGAACTGATGCTCTCATCTGTGAAATATGCTTAAAATACGTAGGGTGATTATTTTTTTTTCTCTAAACCAAGGAAGTTTTAAAATGAAAATGTATCACTAAAACATGTAAACTCAAATAATTTTTGATTAGTCATTGGCCAACAACTTGTTTTGATATATTGTAGACATAAAATATAGTTCAAATAAAATGTCACTTGGTAAGTATGG